ACTCGTGGCTTCCCCGTACCAGCATAGTGATCTCAGAGGATATTTAAGGCTTTTCTGCCATCATCTGCAGCATCTCTCATGACAAGGGAAAGACTCTTATCGTCCAAGACTTAAATTAGTTCTGCATATGCCTCTTCATTTTTGGTGGCGTCTTCTTCCGCGTCCTCGGGTTCATCCTTCAATAATATAGTGCTCTTCAACTCAAGCAAATGCAAGTGGGCCAAAAACTTAGTTTCCCACAGCTCACAGTTCTTTTCATCTCCATTAAAACATAAACGGTTCCATCGGCTTCCAAACTCCTTCCTGGGCCCATAACCTGTTGACGCTGCCATCTTTAAAAGGGCTGAAAATGCCGGTAAGTAACAGAGGAAAAAACAACACAGCGTTCATTTGTCTTTTGGCCTGAGTGCAGTGCTCATCAGAGCAACCTGTGGCCTTTTATTAACAATTGTGCCCACCTGTGTACATCTCCACCCACAACAGGAAGTCAACAAGAACATCAAGATTCAACATGCACAGACCAAAACGCTAGTGTTCCACCTGCAAATCCTGGGGTTTCTATAAAATGGGAAAAGCCTCTGTTTGTCCGTCCCAGATGATCGTTTATCTGGAAGTGGAGCTAAGTCAACTACAATGAGAGTCCGTTTATCACAGCTGAGAGCCAAAGCTCTATCAGCTCAGCTCCTCCGTGTCAAACCCAGCTCCGCTGTGTCAAACCCTGCAGCATAGTGACAGTTCTGCCTGTCATGCGATTCCTGGGACAATGTCAGCGGCCCACATCGTGGTTCCGCTGGGCCTACTTCACATGAGGCACCTTCAGAGATGGTTCACCCGCCTGCGCATAGATCCTGTGCGCCAGAAGAGGTGGATTATCTTTGTGCCCCCCTCCATGAGAACCGATCTGAATCACTGGGGAAACCCTCTCATTCTGTCAGAGAGAGTTCCCATCAGCAGGCCTACGTCACACGTCTCAGTTTTCACAGACATGTTCCTGTCAACCTGGGAGGATCGTATCTGTCCCAAGCAGTGGGAGCACAGTGGCTGGACCACATGTCGCTTTACATAATGTGCTAGAATGTTTCACGGTCTGAAACGTGACTCAGCATTTGCCCCCTGCTGGGGGATCAGCATGTTCTGATCCACACAGACAACAAGTGACGACAGTTTACATAAACCGTCAGGGAGACATGCGCTCAGCCCAACTGTTATGCATCGCGAAACAGCTGTTGTGTTAAGCTTTTAGATCAGGTTTCACTTAAATTCTGTCATTAAAACAGCCCTGCTGTTAGTTCTGACGTCGGCAAAGAGAGTGAGTGTTTGTTTGCTCTGTTTGTTACTCCCTCATGTCTCAGAATTCAAGCTGATGGCAGTTCAGCTGTACTGCATTTTAACCCTGCTTTGAAAAACATCACAAGCTCATTCAGATCGAGAGTGATAACCTTGAATGGGTTTTATCCTCTTCCTCATAATTCTGAGAAGGAAGCAACATCTCACCTCCTTCTGTCCCAAGCACGCATTTTTCATGTTACGTGGCGCACATGGCCGCACTGCGCCACTTTCAGCGTATGTTCGTGCATTACTGGAACAGCTCTTCAGGACGTCCTCTATCCACCCAGTGCCTCTCACATTCGTTGTGTGAGGCTATTTCTGAAGCTTACAGTTCACATAGACTGGATCCTCCAGAGAATCTCAGTGCATTCCACCAGAGGGTTTTCATCCTCCATGGCTCTGCATGGAGGGATGACAATGGAGGATATTTGTATGGCGGCTGCCTGGTCATCGCCATGTTCAATTATTCGTTTTTATCTACGTGAGGTTTCTACTTTTTCCTTGACCCATTCTCTTCTCTGGCTGAAGAAAAAAGCTATTGGGGAGCCGATTACCCGGTCTCACCGTAATTTATTCAGACCGGGGGTGAGGCCCACACAGCAGGTGGGCATGGACTAAAGTTTTCAGTGCTGCGCTGCGCGCCTAGGGATAAACCCACTAGCGACAGTCTTAAGTGTGCCTCCCACCTCTCTAACCTCTGCGCCACCACTTGGGAGTGGTGGCGCAGAGGTTAGAGAGGTGGGCTTGTGATCCGAAGATCGCCGGTTCACGCCCCGGCCCCGACAACATCAAAAATTGTGGGTGGGGTAGGTAAAACACCCACACTTGCCCCCACCCTCATTCGCCCCACTCTGGGCCCATGAGCAAGGCCCTTAACCCCCACCATGTGCTCCCTAAACAGGTCTCTCTTGAAAATGAGTTCTCGTGGCTCAATGAGACTAACCTGGATAAATAAAGGGTAAATTAAAAAAATTAAAGGGGTACGCCTATACTCATAGAATCTGGGGTTACAGTACGTAAACAACGTTTGCTGTACACTTTTAGAGCATTTAGAGAGATTAGAACATTGTTAAGAACATTGCAAGAATGTGTGGGAAGGGTTTATAAACCCTTAAAATATTTATAAATGCTAAAATAATGTCCCTACTTCACAGATTTTCACCTACTGCAGGAGTGTCTGGAATGTAACCCCTGCAATAAGTGAGGGGCTACTGTAAACTGGACTGAATTGAATTATCTATAGTGGTGGCCATCTTGAATTTTGATGTGGTAATTCAATTTTCAGTATGACCTTTCTTACACCTAGATGTAGCTAAAAACAAAATGGAAGTCGGTACCTCACATTTTTTTCCAAGTTATGTTCACAACACAGATGGAGGGAGGCTCCATGATAGTGGAGAATAAAGTTCCTCCATAAAGTGGCCATCTCAGAGGAAAGGTGAGGAGCTCTGTCACCTGGAGAAGAGACGCTACTCCTGTGCATTAAAAAGAGTCTGCTGAGGTGATTTGGCCACAGCCATCTGGAGGTTTTCCTAGAAAGAAACCATGGGGTTGGGGAAGATGGACAGATGATCATTCTCAGGAGGAAATTCAAGAAAAAAGAATTTACAACAAATTCTGATTCACTTTTCTACATCCCTTATTATTTTTGAACAACATTTAGATTTTGTCTTGTAACATTTAATTTTCCAGCTTTTAGAGGATTATCCTGACTGACCTGCAGCCCTCGAGGCTTGTTGTTGTGAATAAATGTCTGCAAACATGCGTGATGTGAACTCTCCCTGAGGAGGCTTGTTGATGCTGATCCAAGCCGTCAGTGAGAGTGAGAAAACAAACTGAATGCATCATCGAATCAGCTGTTAAGTATGCCCACCAGTGGGGGCACCAGGGGATTACCTGCCCGCCTGGATCTGTGCGATCCTGAGCTGTCTGTGGAGCCTGACCTGAGAGGTCATCCAGCAGAAATGTAAACTCAGAAATAAAAGCTATGTGAAGTTGTGACAGTTGTGGGCTGCATTCAGAACAGGGAAGGATGGCAGCTTGTGTTCCGGATGATCTCCCCACATCTTAACACTCAGTGCCAGTCGGCTAATTTAGGAGCATCAGCGAGTGATTAAATAAAAGGCTCCTCACACCTCCTGATAAATGGGAAATGATTGAAGATCCCTCACAAATTGAACTGAATATAGAGCTTTTTTTTATTTCTCTCAACCATCTTCTCCTTCCTAATCATTCTCATCTTTCTTCCTCATCCTCCTCTTCTCTTTAACCAACTTCCATCCACTTCTCTCCAAATTTCACTCTTTCTTTGTTTCCCACTCATCTTTGCTACCACCGATCTTCTCCGTATTCATCCTCTTTCCTCATCTCTATTTTCTCTTCTTTGTCTTTTCATAGTCCTCCTCACTCATGAAAATCTATTTTTCTGCTAAAGCTCATTTTATCCTTCATCCTGCTTTAATTCCTCTTCTCATCTTCCTTTAAGATCTCGTCCTTTTCTAGGTTTTTACCTCTCTTTCTCCTCAAGTCTCGTCACATTTTCTTTTCTCTTTTTCTTTTATGTGATTTTCTTCTCATGCTCCTCATACCTTTTCGCTTATTTTCTTCTACTCTTTCTCTCTGTTGTTTTTCTCATTCATTTAGAACTCACAAAGCTTTTTCTCATGTCTTCATTTATCATTTCTTCTTTAGCCCTCAATTTCTCCTCCTTTTCATTATCCTCACCTTCCAAACATCTCTCTTCTATCTAAAATTTTCCTCATCTTCTTTTTTTTTTTTTTTTTCTTTTCTCTCTCCTCTCCCACCTTCTCTCCTGTCAAACATAATCTTCTCCTCTCCATCCACCTTCCTTTTCCTTCCTTTATCACCCGCCTTTTTTATTCTTTTTTCACTCTCAGTCCTAGATGTCTGTTTCTTCCCCTTGAAAGACTTTACTCCATCTCCCCTTCAGGGGTCTCTCACTCTTTCCTTTCATCTGTCCTGTTAGTTTTCTCCTCTTCCTCCTCCTCCTCTTCCTCCTCCTCCTCCTCCTCCTCCTCCTCCTCCTCCTCCTCCTCCTCCTCCTCCAGCAGCAGAGAAACATCAGCAGCAGTGTCACTCAGCTCAGCTTAAACTGGAACCAAAGGGAAGATCTCTGTTTTTGACTTTTACTATTTTCAACATCACTTTGTTGTTTTATTTTAATTTCGTTCTTCAGTTTTTTGGTCATTTTATTTATCCTTTAAAGCTTTTTCCCCACTGCATTGATTCGTCTCGGAGTGCAGCAGTATGAGGATACCCTGCATCCAAAATAAGGGTTCTTTCCTCGCTCCAACTAAAGCTTGTAGACATATTCATTCCTCTTCCCTTCTCTCTCTGTTTTTGCATCTCATTGGGAAAAACTAGGTCAGTCTTGTGGCTTTCACACAGGATGTTTGCCTCTGGACTCTGATGTGATTATTTCAAGGTATGACTTTTGAAATATTTTGTAAATGAAGTCCATTTTTTCATTCAGTGACAGAATGTGGACCATCATGAAGACCGACATCCAGCAGCTCATTCTGTGGGATCTCACGTTAACTGCAGCTGATGAGCAGCTGTATTTGGAGAAATGCATTGAGGGTTTGTATTCTGAGAAAGCAAATATGATTTGGAGTGAAACGATCTGAAAGCTGCAGGATATTATTGAATGCTCTATTTGAGAGCTTTGAGGAGCTTTTTTCAGTTTTCTACTTTACTCGGCACAAACCCAGTTTTTTTCTGTCTCAAATGAACTGGAGGTTAAATATTCAAGGATTGTAACATCAGGATGGACTTCTCAGATGAATCCACTCTCGTTGCTGCCATATTTTTGTCCACGTCACCACCAAACTCTTCTGCAGAGAGTGTCAACCAGACAACTTCTTCCTTGTCCAGATTCCCCTCTTTTCCTCCTCACTCACAAGTTGCATCGGTGTTCATTGTGCTGGTGGTCACAGTCATTATCCTGGGGACTGTGGTGGGAAACGTGTTGGTGGTGGTGGCCGTGTTCACCAGCCGAGCCTTGAGGGCACCTCAGAACCTCTTCCTGGTGTCTCTGGCTTCAGCCGACATCCTGGTGGCCACGCTTGTCATCCCCTTCTCTTTGGCCAATGAGGTGGGGAGACTGTTTCTCAGAATATTCTGCTGGAAATGATCACTTGTTTTATTAGCCAGATTAATCATGTTAAATTTACTGGATCTAAAGGGTTGCATCAGAATGCACAATAAAATATTCTCTTTCAGTCTTTTAAGTGTTCCTGCATTGGCAATTCAAGTCTGCGTGTGTGTGAGGGGGGGGGGGGGGTGTTCTGAATCATAAAACAAGTCAAATGTATGTATACGTAGATTCCAAGACTTCCTCACAATTAGACAATACAAAGAATATTACTGTAACAGAGACACGTGATCTAATCTAACTTTCTGAATCTGCAGTCGGGAGGAATTCACAATAAAAAGTTACAATAAATAATAAGGTGTAGCACTAAATCTAGTTTACCTGCAGTAGTTTAAGCTACAACATAAACTGATAAACAATATTTGCAAAGTTGTTTTTCTAATATGCAAATCAGCCACTAGGGAGCACAAGCCAGTGTATATCTTGTGTCAGTCCCAAGCCCAGGTTAATGGTGAGGGTTGTGTCAGGAACGGCAACAAATTTAAAACACTTTTCTTGGCCAAAACTATAATGCGAGTTCATCAAAGCGAAACCATACCAGGTCAGTCGAGGCCCACGTTATTGACTGCCACTGGTACTGTTGACAAACAGGGTGTCATTGGAAATTGTGCTACAGCTAGTCAAAAATCGCAAGGAAGGAAACGTGTCAGGAGACAAGAAGAGATGAGGAAAGTGAATAATGTAGGACTGAGGGTTGCAACTCTAAATGTGGAAACAATGACAGGCAAAGCTAGAGAACTGGCTGACATGATGCAGAGAAGGAAGGTAGATATTTTATGTGTCCAAGAGACCAAGTGGAATGGCAGTAAGGCTTGCAACAATGAAGAAGAGTTCAAACTGTTTTACCATGGTGTGGATAGAAAGAGAAATGGAGTAGGGGTAGTCTTGAAGGAGGAGTTGGCAAAAAAAAATGTAGTAGAGGTGAAAAGAGTGTCAGATAGGGTGATGACAGAAGTAGAAGGTCTGATGCTAAATGTTGTCAATGGTTATGCTCCACAGATTGGATGTGATGTGGAGGAGAAAGATAACATTTGGAAGGATTTGGATGAAGTGATAGAGAGTATTCCCAGAGAGGATAGAGTGGTGATCAGAGCAGACCTGAATGAAATGTTGGTGAAAAAGAGGGGGATGAGGAAGTGATGGGTAGGTTTGGTGTCAAGGAAAAAAATCAGGAAGGGCGGGTGGTGGTGGATTTTGCCAAGAGAATAGAAATGGCTGTAGTCAACACTTGTTTCCAAAAGAGAGAGGAACATAGAGTGACCTATAAGAGTATGTAGAATGCAGGTAGACTACATTCTATAGAAGAGGAAAGCTGAGGGAGTATCCTGATGCATGCTCAATAATCCAGGTAGAAAAATCTAAAAAAGTTCAATCTGGTCCTTTGGACATTAAAAAAAAAAAAAAAACAAAGCAAAAAAATCTAGATACGTTTCGTCTTTCATCCAAAAGACTTACTCAGTCTGAGGTGCTATATTAGGCTCAGTCTCTTAAATAGCACCTTCTCAGAGTGGATCAACCAATTTGCTGCTGACAACCAAAACCAGCTGCTCACATTGTCAAGAAGGACCATCAGCCTAACAATGGATCATTAGCACACTGATGGCTGTTTACTATTCACAGAGGGCTGAGTGATACTAGCAATAACAGCATTGTAAGAGAGGGATGTTGAACCCGGAGGCCTCCACCCCTGTTTAACGATGGACGATTTATTTTCACAAAGATGGCCTCTTTTACTCCTCTCTCAAACCATTGTTCCTCTCTGCCCAGGATGTGGACATCTTCATCCCTGAAAGAGTGACCACTCTCTGGAGATGAGTGTAGACTGCAGAATCCCGGCCTGGTGTTGATCTTCTGTGCTGGGCCATCCTTTTGGCCAGTGGCTGTCTGGTTTCTCCAATGTAAGACTGATCACAGCCCTCCTGACACTGAACAGCATACACAATATTACTCTGTTTGTGCCGTGGGACTGGATCTTTGGGATGAACCAGTCTTTGCCGTAATGTATTTTGGGGTTTAAAAGCCACTGGGACATTATAGTTAGAAAATAAACGTCTCAGTTTCTCTGATACTCCCTCAACATACGAAATGACAACTGGTCTGGGTGTGGGTCCCTCCTTTTCACCTGATGGCTGACTGGAGTCATGTTTGGGTTTCTTCTCTGCTTTTAGGAAGGCCCAGTTAGGATATTCACATTGCTCTAGAGCCTGTCTTGTGTAGGATTTCTCCTTCTGCCTGGCTCCTGAGTTAGTGGGGATGCTGTCTGCTCTGTGATACAGAGACCTGATGACTCCTAACTTGTGCTCCAAAGGGTGATGGGAGTCAAACTGAAAATACTGGTCTGTGTGGGTGGGTTTGCGGTACACCTCGGTTTGCAAAAGTCCTCTATCAGAGACTGAGACCTCACAGTCCAAGAAAGCCAACTTGCCATTTTTTACATCTTCTCGTGTGAACTTGATGTATTTATCCACAGAGTTGATGTGGTCAGTAAAATGTTGGACTTCCTGAGATTTAATTTTAACCCAGGTGTCGTCAACATACCTGAACCAATGACTTGGTGGTGTCCCTGAAAAGGATGTCAAGGCTCTCTTTTCTACCTCCTCCATGTACAGGTTGGCAACAATATTATTGATTATTGAGCATGTATCAGGATATTTTGAACCACTTTGGCCAGGATTGCCTCAAACTAGTAAGAGAGTATGAGAAAACAGCAAGGAAGAGGGCAGACCACAGGAACCACTTACGATTCAACCTCAGATGTCGACAAAGTGGCATCATTCCCAAGAGCTTGGAACTAAAATCATCGGTCAGCGGGCACTGGGCAAGCAAGATCCTTCAGAAGGCACAGACCCAGCTGCTGAATGAACGGGTGAGACAGACCAATTTTACTATTGAGGCCTTGAAGGCCAAAGAAGAGCACATTAAACAGAAACTAACAATGTGTCTAGATCAGACCACACTTCAGCAAGTGTTGGACTGTACAGATCAGGCACGCTTAGCACAGCATGTCAAGTCCAAGACTCGACAACAAAACAAGTTTAACTTACTAATAACTCATCAACACCATCACTATTCCAATAACAACACATTCAGTGTAGGACAACACTCCAGTAGTCAATTACATGTCAGGGAAACAGAAAAGTGGGTGAAGAATTTATCTGACAGACAGCTCACCCAGCCAGAGACAGAGATTCTTGCCAGGGGACTGAACTTTGCAGTTGCACCAAGTAGAATTCCTCTGGTGGAGATGAACACAGCCACAGAATCAGCCATCCGCAACAACAAAATGAAAGAGGGTGAAGCAGAACAGCTCAGAATCAAAGTTTCATCCTGCCTCAGCAATGCCAAACCACCACCTTCCAACATCAGTAGAGAGGAGAGGGATGCACTCACCACTCTTAGCAAGGACAAAAACATCATCATTCTCCCAGCAGACAAAGGAAGGTGCACAGTGATTTTGAACCAGAAAGACTATCATGAGAAAGTTATGACACTCCTTAGTGACTTAAACACTTATGAACCTCTGAAAAGAGATCCAGGAAGTGGTTACAAGAAGAAGTTAATAGATTGCCTGAAAAATTTGGAGCAGGACAAGGCTATTGACCGTTTTCTGTACCACAGACTGTACCCAGGGGAGGCCACACCTAGTCTGTATGGTTTACCTAAAATCCACAAACAAGGTGTACCTTTAAGACCAATTGTTAGTATGATTAACTCTGTCACTTACAATGTTTCCAAATATCTGGCGTCTGTACTCATCCCTTTAGTTGGCAGCTCAGAACACCACATACAGAACACCATGGACTTTGTGGATAAGGTGAGGGATGTCATCATGGAGACTGATGAAACAATTGTCTCTTTTGATGTCACATCACTCTTCATGTGCATTCCTGTTGATGATGCAGTAGAGGTGGTCCGTTTAAGATTAAAATCAGACACCACTCTGACCACGCTTTCCACAGAACAACTGTGTCAACTCTTGAAACTGTGCCTGCAGTCAACCTACTTCACATATGGGGAGCAATATTATAGGCAGAAACATGGGTGTGCTATGGGGTCTCCAGTTTCTCCTATTGTTGCCAACCTGTACATGGAGGAGGTGGAAAAGAGAGTCTTGACGTCCTTTTCAGGGACACCACCAAGTCATTGGTTCAGGTATGTTGACGACACCTGGGTTAAAATTAAATCTCAGGAAGTCCAACATTTTACTGACCACATCAACTCTGTGGATAAATACATCAAGTTCACACGAGAAGATGTAAAAAATGGCAAGTTGGCTTTCTTGGACTGTGAGGTCTCAGTCTCTGATAGAGGACATTTGCAAACCGAGGTGTACCGCAAACCCACCCACACAGACCAGTATTTGCAGTTTGACTCCCATCACCCTTTGGAGCACAATTTAGGAGTCTTCAGGACTCTGTATCACAGAGCAGATAGCATCCCCACTAACTCGGGAGCCAGGCAGAAGGAGAAATCCTACACAAAGCAGGCTCTAGAGCAATGTGGATATCCTAATTGGGCCTTCCTGAAAGCAGAGATGAAACCCAAACAGGACTCCAGTCAGCCATCAAGTGAAAAGGAGGAACCCAGACCAGTGGTCATTCCGTATGTTGAGGGAGTATCAGAGAAACTGAGACGTTTATTTTCTAAACATAACATCCCAGTGGCTTTTAAACTCCAAAATACATTACGGCAAAGACTGGTTCATCCCAAAGATCCAGTCCCCCGGCACAAACAGAGTAATATTGTGTATGCTGTTCAGTGTCAGGAGGGCTGTGATCAGTCTTACATCGGGGAAACTAAACAGCCACTGGCGAAAAGGATGGCCCAGCACCGAAGATCAACATCATCAGGCCAGGATTCTGCGGTCTACACTCATCTCCAGGCCAGCGGTCACTCTTTCAAGGATGAAGATGTTCACATCTGGACAGAGAGGAACAATG